GTAACCCATCACTGACCTCCGCAAGACCAGTCATCTCTCTTGATGCATCAACCAAAAATCTTTCCATCCCATTCTTGATGCCATCACTTCCCCTCATTCTCTTTTGAAATTGATCATAAGGGACTGGACATGCAAGAGGATTATTTTAAACGTGACTGTAGAAGCAGACTAGATCTGTCTGTGAATTTTATATAGGGAAATCACCTGAACTGTGCAGTGGTATAAACATTTGTAATACTTCAGTTTTAGATCCACTGAGGCGGTTACACATTTGTATGCTGACACTTGCTAATAAGTTACTAATTATCACCAAGTAGGTAATGGCAAGATGTTGATTTGGATATCTTCAATTTAGAAGCAGTAGCTATCCCAGGAGAGGTTAGATGGGGACACTATCAAAACCTGAGTCTTGTAAAAGGGAAGTAGGAATTCTTTAAATTGAGCAACTTATTAAATAAAGGACTTATCCCAAGAGGTGTTGGAGTTACTAACTGCCCTCTGAGAAAGGGAGAATGGCACCTGGAAAAAAATAGGTGTGAACTCGAGTAGAGCATTCAGATAGTGGAGAGACTCTGCATTCACTTCCTCTCACTGTCATTTTTTATTTATTTTTATTTCCTGCAGCTTTAATAAAGGTATTTGGATAGTTAACAAGTCCAGTAGGGCTGGACTAACTTCAGCTGTGGGATCTTTGGCTAATCTTAAAGTATTTTGTTCTTGTACTGCATATCACATTGTCTTAATTTTAGGCTAAACTCCTCCATGGCAGAAAGTAAAGACATTCCCGTTTTTATTAATTTGAAATCTTTGACCTCTGTCAAACCGTGAAGCTGGTTTAAGAGGATGTACTAGGAAAAATCTTGCCTCACCCTTGACGAAAGTGTTAGTTAGATTGTAGTGGCACCCAATAGCTGCCAAAAATGCTCAGGCAGAAATAGCTGGGATGAGGTGCAGGGGAGAAAGCACAGGAGATCAAATCTGCCAAAAAGATCAGTACAGGCCCTTTCTTTGCAACAAAAATAAATCAGTTCTGCTGTGTTTGAGGAATGAGGGAATGGAAAGCTGGGAGATGTATAAGGGTGCGGGCATTAGAGCCAAAAAGCCAGACCAGCTATGATGGTTGTCATTGGGAAGTAAGGGGGTGGGTAAGAAATTTGATGTGCGGAATCCTAGAGGTGGCAGGGTTGCCAGAAAGTTCAAAGGATGCCTCTGCTGTGAAGGGAGAGCTGCTGGGGGGTAGGTGTGAAATAGGTAACAGCTTTACATTTGTGAAAAGTGGTTTGTGATGTGTGACTTTCTTATGTGGACAGGATTATTAGTTGTTCTACCTGAACTTACCTTGATTCATGCTGCTTCTGAAAAAGCTTATATAACCCTGGTTTTTTTTCTGCTTTTAACTAGTACTGGTTTGTCTAATATGGTCCTGCTTCTTCCATAAATTTTGTCTTTTCTGTGCATTTTTTTGATGTTTGAGGAACTAGTTCAGATAAAACTCTGCAATGTGCTCTGACCCCAAGATACCGCTAGCCTAGATAGGGGATCTGTTCATCTGCTGTTCATCTCTCTAACTGTTACTCAATCTGCTCTAGTTAAACTTGAACAAGTTTTCCCCATTCCTCTATCTCTTGTCTCTTTACAATTGTGAATGAAAGTTCTTGATAAGTTGTCAGGGCGGTGTGAACATGTTTGTGTATCAACACATTTCAGTTCAGTGTGAAGGTGACTTCAGGTGGCAGTCATGCCATGGCATAGCTTCCAGTTCTGTCAGTATTCAAAGATTTTTATTTAACATTTTTCTCTCTCTGTGAATCCCTCTATAGACACCCTGCATCTGCAGCTGAAATATTTTCCAAAGAGATGCTGCTATCCACTTGTTCATGCTTTGAAGCACATTCTTTGGTGGAAAGGGCAAGAACCATTATAAAAAACTGAGTTCAACTGAATTTCATGGGTAGGAGTCAGGCTAGCTTTCTGGTTGAGAGATTGCTTATTGGTGATACTGAGTCAGATCCAGATAAGAACGTTGCAAAGAATTGCATGTAATACTGGGGGAAAAATCTGTTTAATTCTAGTACAAAACACCCCCGCTCCTTCTATCAAGAGGAAACTTCTACCCTCATAAGAGGTAGCCTTTTCAGGATAAGCTTGGCTATGGTAAGTTCACAGTGGTTTGTGTTAGGGAAGGCTGCTTTCTGATTGTAGTGAGCTGTAGCCTCTGGAAACTTCTGTTATCAATAGTGCTTCTATCTTTTTGTCTAAAACTGCTGATCCATCCTGGGTTGTTTCTGTGATGGATCTCCAGAGAGATTCTAACTGGGAGATGAATGGATGTGAAGGCCACAGGGAAGGCGAAGCTGGAACACCATGTAATGCAGTATTTCAAAGAGCACCTATCTCCTCCTGTTCTGGAAAGAAGGGGTGGCTGACTGAGAGGCTGTTTGTTTTTCTCCTGTGTATGTTTCAGTGCATATTTCTCCTCACCCCCAATGTGTTTTAAAAATTTAGTCCTTTAATCTGCTCCCCTTCTCCCTATGATATCTTGCCATTGGAAATGTTCTGCCTTGATGTAGAGAAGACAGCTTGTGTTTATGTTATTGTATCTGCATAGTATATAAATCAAGGATTTTAATCTGTCCACCTGGAGCAGGTCACTAGTAATAAACTTCTGTTTGAAAAAGTGGGTAAGGATGAAGCATCCTTTTAACGCAAATTTAGAACTAACACTTTGGAAGCAGTGCTGGAAAGGTGCCTGACTTGTACTGTGAACACAAGGATAAAGACTAGCACTGACTAGCAGTAGCCTTATATTGCCTGAGTGGATGGACTTTCAAAAAATGGATTTTTCTCAATTGGGTCTATAAGAAGATGGTTTGAATGCATAAAAGCACAGTATGGATTGAAAACAAGTATTTGCTGCTTGAAGATTTTGCTGACTTAAGCGTTCTGTTCATGCTATTTGGTCACTTATTGTACTGCTTTTATTTCCCACAACTCTTTCTCTGTTTGCTTTCTTCCTTTCTGTGAACACTTTGGGGAAAAATAAATACGCTGCTTTTGTGAATATCATTATTGATGTTTTTGCTGAGCTGTATTTTGCCTAGTGACATTATACATCCTATGTGAAAGATCATTTTTAATGTTTGTGTGTGCTGCACTAGAGCTAATTCTTCCCTACTTTTTTCTTCTTTTTCTTTCTTTCCAGGGGATCTACAAGTATCTTGAGAGGTGTTTTTCAGACTTTAAGCAGAGAGGCTTTGTTGTTGGATATGACACACGAGGTCAGGTGACCAGCAACTGCAGCAGTAAGAAGTATGAGTATTGATTACATTTGCAAGACTAGAAATTAAATTGTGGCTTTAAATGCATTCTGTTCTATCAGAATATTTTTGTCATGAACTGTGCACAACCCTTAGTCCATTTAAATAGTAATGAAGAGAGGCATGGACTAAAGCCTTTATAATACCAGTTGCCAGCAAATGTGGAATGTAAGGCTAGTCACTTCACCAAAGAATTTACAGTCTAAATGCACGAGAACATTAGGCAGACATTAAGAAGTTGATATGCCCGGAGAGAAATTTGAATGTGAAGGTAAATTCGGAATACTAACATCTAGCTTGAAATCACTAAATGTTAATGCACTATTGTTAACACTGTCGTTCTTTTGTATTATGCATCTGACTTAAGCTTGCTTGGGGGAGAAGAATTCTACCTGCAGCCTACTGTAACCCAGTATTTTGGTACCCTTCTGCTAGTCTGCGATCTCAGTGTATTTCCACATTGGGAATATTTTACCTGGAATGTTTAAAATGTAAACTTCCAGTAATGCCAAATAGTGCTTTTTTCAAGGAAAGGGGAGAGAGGATCTGTAAAAGAACTGCTTTCTGAATTCTGTAAGGAGTCTTAATCCCTTGTCATTTGGGGAGCAAAACACATGTTGTAATGGCATGCTTTACAAAAAAGCCAACCCAGCAGCTAATTATTTTTTAATTAATGAGTAGTTAATTATTGTTGTTAATGTAGTTATTGTAGTTAATTGTTGTAACTAATGTAGTCTTTTTTTTATTTTTGTCAACGTTCAATATTCTAGGGATGTAAAAGTTCTTGGTATAGTAGAGCACAGATTCCAAGAGTTTCTCCATTCCCCTGAAGTCTGCCTCTCCACGCCTTCCTGTCTGGTCTTCAGATACGTGTGGCACATTATCCACCAGGCTTTGGCATAAGGGTTTTAAACTCACCTGTTACACTGTTTGCAAGGCTGTTACCCAAATTGTCTGGGTTACACACAGTTTAAAAACGTGGAAGTGTAAGAAAAACATTCCTTTTCAGCCACACAAAGCTTGGAATTAAGACTTGATGGCAGCGCAGTTGTTGTATTTCACGTGTCAAAGGAGCAAATCGGTTCTCAAGTACATGTTTCTTTTATCCCCTTGGGATGCCACACAGTTACAGTAGTGCTAAAATAAAATTGACCCTCCCCAAGAGTGTTTTCAACTGGATCAGTGTGCTTATCCAGCACTATGTGAGCAGGAGCGCCCCTTTCTTTGCATCAGTTCCAGTGCCGAGGGAGATGGCAGACTGTCTGGCTGTATCCCGCAATTAAGTTGATGTAAACCATTGTGATACACAAGCAAAATTTCAGTAGCTTCAGCTACAAGCTGAGCTCTCAAACTCTTTTAAGTGGTTTCAAGTTACATTTGATAGGTGCTATAGTGAAATTCTGAGTAACTGAAACTTAGACTACAGTATACTCATCATGGGAGATAAGGAAGCAAGTATTAATGCTTGTCTGTAAAAATGAGTGAGCAAAGCAAACTTACACTATTTAATCTCTCATCTGTTTTGACTCTGAGACTTCCCATTAACTACTGAGCTGTGTGTACCTGACTTTAAAAGAACAGTTTCATATCAAACAGTTACCTGAAGGAGAATGAGTTTCCCTGCTGCTTGAAAGGAAAAGTTTATAATAATGGCAAGGTTTAAAAACATGCTTGTCTGTAAAAATGAGTGAGCAAAGCAAACTTACGCTATTTAATCTCTCATCTGTTTTGACTCAAGACTTCCCATTAACTACTGAGCTGTGTGTACCTGACTTTAAAAGAACAGTTTCATATCAAACAGTTACCTGAAGGAGAATGAGTTTCCCTGCTGCTTGAAAGGAAAAGTTTATAATAAAGGCAAAGTTTAAAAACATGGGTGCTGTTACTGTTTCTAAACTTTCTGGAATAAGAGCATGCTGGTTTGCGGAAGTATATTTTAGGAATAGGTCTGCTTCATGGATATTGTCTGAAGCTGCTGAACAAGGCTGGCAAACAAGCTTTGCTGTGTGGGGTACTGAATCCTTTTCCAAACCTGCTGTTGCAGACATCTGGCACTTTAAACTTTTTGTGAGATTGGTTCTGTCCTTGAATGAAGGACAAGTGTGACACCAGTAGGTTTTGTATCTTTGGTTTTGATATCACTGGTTTATTTACATGGTTGACTGAAGTGCCTTGTGCTCTTCAAGCAATGAATAAAAGCACTGTCTTGGATTCTACAGCCTGAAAACTGTGTTACATTGGCTGTACGAACTGTAGGATATGACTCCTAGTGTAAGCCAAAAAACAATAGAGCGATTTAAGAATCAAGTGAAATGAAGGTTACAGTAATGCCATATGGCTGTTGGATTGTCATGGGGAGTTGACTGAATTTTTCTTTTTCATGTTGGTAGACTTGCAAAGCTCACTGCAGCAGTCCTACTGGCTAAAGATGTACCTGTATACTTCTTTTCCACGTATGTCCCTACACCGTTTGTGGTGAGTCATCTTCTCTTTTATATGGTTGAATCATGCAGTTAAGGGAGTATTTTAAAGTTTACTAAAAATGTGAACTGGCAATTTTCTTCTCAAATTCCATTGTTTAAATGGAAAAATAGAGGCTGCTTACTACACTTGGCTTTTCAAGGAGGCTGTTACAAGAATGTCGCTGAATTCTTCTGTGTGCAGGTAGTCAATAGAATCACACTTTGCCCTAGGCTGCCGTGTGAGGGCAATAGTTACTGCAGTCCAGGCTTTGCTCTATTAGTCACAGGTGAAGCGTTCTGCTATTCTTTTATTCTGTGCTTAAACACCTGGGTGTCATAAGGGTCAAAGATGATATTTATGTGTGTGTCAATATATACACATATATAGGGACCATAGGTTTTTGGACATAAGACTTACACTGCTTAGAGTGGAAGAAATGAAGGATTGCCTCTACTTTTAATATCTCAGAAAACAGAGCTTTCTGTTCTAGTCACAGAAGCTTTTTCTTGCAGGGTTTTAAATCCTTGTTTTCTCTTCTGCAAGCTTTTCTAGTGCTGTGGATCTTGTTTGGAGGGGAGGACTGAAAGGACTGGATGCTCTTTAGCTGGAAATACCTGTAACTTGTTTTTCAACAAGCCTTTTGGTGAATTCCTTCATTCTGTTTCAACCTGGTTTTCTCAAATACTAGTGTAATCTGAGTGTAGGCTTTCTTTAGTTGGCCAGTTAATAATTGTGTTTATGTAATTGGTAAATAGAATAATGTTCCTATGCGACAGAATAGAACATGCTTTCTCTCTATTACTAGCTACAGGAAACAGAATGATGAGCATTCATGTATAATTTTCAAATAAACTGCTGAAACATTAAGAGCCGCTTCTCCTGTAGCATCCTATTGCATAACTGTCCTAATAATGTAATGTTAATTGTGCCAGCTGCAGAACTCTTGGGTAAATTGACATTTCTGGGTTTCCTTTGCAGCCCTATGCTGTTCAGCAGCTCAAAGCTGTGGCTGGTGTGATGATCACAGCATCCCACAACCGGAAGGAGGACAACGGATACAAGGTAAGGCTTGAACTTGAAGTTCGTAGCATGTCACAGCCAGTTGTTTTCCAGTATTATCTACATGCCTTTGGCATTTCGCGGCTTCTGGAGTGCACGTGTGTGTACATTAGAGGGAGAAATTATTTCAAGTAATTCATCCTTCTACAACCTGAATCACACACACTTTTGTCTGTGACTAGAACTTAAGACCACACTGCTTGTGTATCTTGAGCACAAGTTTTTTGTTACATTCCATAGAGTCTAATCAGCAGCTGAAGAAATGTTTAAGCAATTTATGTGTTCACTTCTTAGACTTAAAAACGAGTTTAAAACTAAGCTAGAATGTAAGTGAATTAGTCCACACAGTAGGTAACTGTGCTGAAGATGGTGACGGTTTAAGAATTGGTTAATAAAACTTTGTAGTAGTGTGTTGATCCCTGTGAGGTTGTTTTCCTGGGCGTTGAGAGAGAGGCGGGTGGCTTCATTTGGAAAGCTTGGAACAATATAAAATCATTGGGTTGGATGGGACCTTTAAAGGTCACCTAGTCCAACCCCCCTGCCATGGGCAGGGACATCTTCAACTAGATCAGGTTGCTCAGAGCCCCGTCCAACCTGACCGTTAATGTTTCCAGGGATGGGGCATCTACCACCTCTCTGGGCAACCTGTGCCAGGGTTTCACCACCCTCAGCATAAAGAATTTCTTCCTTATATCTAGTCTAAATCTACCCTCTTTTAGTTTAAAACCATTCCCCCTTGCCCTGTCCTGCTAAAAAGTTTGTCCCCATCTTTCTTATAAGCCCCCTTTAAGTACTGAAAGGCTGCAATAAGTCTCCCCGAACCCTTCTCTTCTCCACACTGAACAACCCCAGCTCTCTCAGCCTTTCTTCATAAGAGAGGTGTTCCATCCCCCTGATCATTTTCTTGGCCTCCTCTGGACCCGCTCCCACAGGTCCATGTCCGTCCCATGGTGAGGACCCCCGAGCTGGACACAGCACTGCAGGTGGGGTCTCACCAGAGCAGAGGGGCAGAATCCCCTCCCTCGACCTGCTGGCCACGCTGCTTTGGATGCAGCCCGGGATACAATTGGCTTTCAGGGCTGTGAGCGCACGTTGCCGGCTCATGTCCAGCTTTTCATCCACCAGCACCCCCAAGTCCTTCTCGGCAGGGCTGCTCTCAATCCCTTTATCCCCTAGCCTGTATGGATACCAGGGGTTGCCCTGGTATATATTATGTATAAACATACATAATAACAAATGCTGCTTTTGCAGTATTGTAATGCAGTATTTCCTTTCTAAACTTCATAAGAATCTGAATAAACTTTAAACTTTAAGTAAACTTAGCGTTCTAGAAGCTTAGTAACAGGTCAATAAGTAATGGCAATGATAGGAAAACCAGTCTTATTCTGCAGAGATAACTCTTGGAGGTGGTTGTACTGCACTTGTCCTCTGTGGAGCAAGATGTAAAGTACTTCACTAGCCTTTACTTTTGCTTATCTATAGCAATTAATTAGAAAATAAGTCACATCAGTTTTCCAGGTGCTTCATTTATTAAGAAGCTATTACATTTGTGTCTTCAGATACAAAAAACTTTACTTTTGTCAGGATATTGTTTTTTCTAGTCTTTCACAAGAATTGTTTTATCTTTCACTATTTCCCCTGTGAATTCAGCAGCTTCTGAAGGTTTTGGACAATTTTAACCAAACTTGAGAAAACCATAGTTTTGAAGATCCTGAGTACCCATGGGTTTCATGAAAACCAGCAGACAAGAAAAGAGAGACAGATTGGTCTGAATAGAAAGTCTGCACTGTAAACTCAACCATGCTCTTGGAAACAAACTGTGGGAAAACAGGCATCTAAATAATTCTTTAACAAAGACTTTTATAGTTCAGGGTTTGATAGTGTTTCCAGCTGAGAGATTACAGTTGTTCAGTTACGGAAAAACATCTACCTTGGCACACTGCTTATCTGTTTTGCTTTGATTTCAAAAACAAGTTGTGCTTCTTTTTCAAAAGGAATGCCAGAGTAGTAGAAGGTAATGTTTTTCTTCTGTTACTGTTTGCGCAACACTCTCAAATGTAAGTGCCCAGTTTCGGTTTCTCACGTCCTGATGATTTCAGTCATAATAGTTGAATACCACCTTTTTTGAAAACGGGTTGTGTTGCTAAGTAGCTATCATTACATAACTGAAATCATAAACTGTGGTTCCAAAAGACTTTTGAGAATCAAGCCAGTCTGATGCTAGCCTTTTCTGTACGACTTCAAGAAGCAGGAAGTATGCGGAATCCTTTAGCTAAAAGAATTTATCAAGTTAATAATCTTTGTAAATAAACTGTGTCTTGTTTTCCTTAAACTTATACCAGGTTTATTGGGAAAATGGAGCACAGATCACCTCTCCTCATGATAAGGAAATTATAAAGTGTATAGAAGAGTGTGTTGAACCATGGAATGGCTCTTGGAATGAGAATCTAGTAGACACCAGTCCCCTTAGACAGGATCCTCTGAAGAAAATTTGTGACTGTTACATGGAGGATCTGAAAAAGATCTGTTATCATAGGTATTGTATAAAACAAAATGTACTTAAATTATGTTTTTAAGTAAGCTCTGGGTTGCCTGTGGAAAACTGACTGCTGACAGATAGACTTCAATAATAAAGCATGCGATGTTGCCATACATAAACATTTTTGATTTGGGTATAGGGATTGGGCTGTCTTCCAACACTTTAATAGTTTTGGACCTGCCTGTAGTGATTGTTATCGTCACAAATCAGTGACTTGATTTCTGTCTTTACGGTTCATAGAAGCTGGGTGCTCCAATCTGCCACAGACGTCACTGTCTGCTTGAGGCCATTGCTCTGTGCTCTCCATGGTGGGAATAATTTTTGGTCATCTCCCCTTTCTGTCTCACCCCATCCCTTCTCTGATGTGTCATTAAATTGGATGGTCAGCGTCATTAGGACTAAACGATACTTCTTGACAATAAAGCAGCCCTGCCTTTGGACACTAGGCTACAGTATAGCACCCTGATGTGAACCATTTTATGCAAATGAATAGGCTCAGAGTTCTGAATAAAATGCAGAAATTCAGAGTAAAGGCAAGATGTACATGCATGGAATAGTGGTGAGAAGATTAAGTTTAAAGGTTAGGTGGGGCAGAAGACAAGAATAAAAGGAGGAAGATGAATAATGTAGGTAGAGTGGAGCCACAGTAAGATCTTCAGAGTGGTAGATGCAGAAATTAACAGTTCATTCTTGGGAGACTCTCAGCCAATTCAGCAGAAAGTAAATATCTCATTTTCCAGGAGAAGAAGCTTTAAACCAGCAGTGTGTAGTGAAAGTCCAAATGAGCACTTTTCACTCATTCCTTCTTTGAAATTGTTGCAGAAATCAGCAGAATAGTACAAAGCGTAACTGCATTTTCTTTTGCTTTTGCTTTCCCACATGAAAGTAGTCTTGTTAAATAACTAAAATCTTACTGAAATTTTTTTCCTTCTCAGGGAGCTAAACATTCAAACAAATTTGAAGTTTGTTCATACCTCTTTTCATGGAGTTGGACACGACTACGTGCAGTTGGCTTTCAAAGCATTTGGCTTTCAGCCCCCCATTCCAGTACCTGAACAAAAAGATCCAGATCCAGATTTCTCTACTGTCAAATGCCCAAATCCTGAAGAAGGAGAATCTGTGCTGGTATTTTTGTTTCTACTTCATCAGATTTCTATGAGCTTTCCTCTGTTTGGCTATGATACTGTGTTGAAAAATAAATCGAGGAAGAGAACAGGGAGTACCTGGCTTTCAGCTGTGTTAATACAGTGGGCAGTTCATATGAGATTTTCTTTCACTGCATGTTACATGTAAGTAGGAAGACTGTGGGTTTATTTGCTCTTGTGATTTCATTTTTTTTCCCCTCCCTCTTCTCCCACCAGGAGTTGTCACTGAGGCTTGCAGAGAAAGAAAATGCTAAAGTAGTAGTGGCCACTGATCCAGATGCAGATAGGCTAGCAGTGGCAGAGCAGAAGGAAAAGTAAGTGATGGGACCTTCTATTTTATCCCTTTCTGCAGAAGAGGTAGTGAAAAATCACAGAATATCCCCAGGTGATTGACAGGCATACACCTTCAACTCACTCTTCGCTGTTGTGGCTTAGCTATTTGGATATTTTTCTTGCTAGCTTAATCTTTTGGTATATACCAAAGTAATGTATTTTAAATAAAATCAGTTAATAACTCAGAAAAGATTAGATTAAATACTTACCAGTGTTACAGTAAATGGCCAAATAAAACTTAACTGAAAAGTTGAGTGGTTACTAAAGACAGTAAAATCTTGTTGTTACTGCTTTTTCACTTTTGTTAGGCAAACAAATTCTGCCTTGGGACAGTTAGCTGTTGTGGGCTTTTTTGGTTTTTTGTCTGTTTTTTCCCTGGCTTCTTCATATTGAATAGAAATTATTTTTCTTCCACTAACAGGCCAAAATTCTGATCATTGTGTAAGTAACTGTCTATAACGTGCGGTTGCGCAGGCATTGCCTGACTGCAATGTATAGACTATATAGACTGCTATACTTCTGTTTTGATAAATTAAAAAGACCTAAGCTCTTTTAAAGCTGACAGTAAGGATACTTAATTGGTATCTTTGCTTGCTAACAGAGTGCACTGGGCTTGTAAATCACTGAGATGTGATAAATGTGGAGTCCTGTTAGTACGGTGGCTTTGTATAGAGCAGCTTGTCTGTAGTGTGCTCAGATTCCTGTTGTTCCAGTGACTGCAGAAAACATCTCCCCCTGAGTGGATGCTCCTGGGAAACCTGAAAGAGCTCTTCTATTTTCTATCCTGTCTGCAGTGGCTGCTGGAAGGTGTTCACTGGCAACGAGCTAGCAGCTTTGTTTGGGTGGTGGATGTTTTCTTGCTGGAAGGAAAACTGCTCCGAAGATGCTGATGTTAAGAATGTTTATATGTTAGCGACCACAGTCTCCTCGAAAATTTTGAGGGCAATTGCACTTAAAGAGGGATTTCACTTTGAAGTAAGTGTGGCTTTTATTATGTCTTCTTGGCAGAGTAAAATCTGCTTGCCATGTTCTCTATCTAGCCCCCTTCCCCCCCCCCCCCCCCTTTACGAAATGAAAAATAGACAGATGACTTCCAGTCTTTTGGCTGGGAGTTTTTATGTGTCCCAACTTGCAGAGAATGCTGTATTACCTAGACAAGCCTGATTTCAGCATCTGCAGTGTTTCTCAATGCATGTTACAGTGAATGCAGTCTGTGAGATCAACTTATGCAAAGCTGCAAGGAGGCTGTAACAGGTGACACAAATTAAAACCTAAATTACATATAATAGAAATACCTTTGTCTTGGTTATTTTCCTAGAGATAAATTCTTCTTTGTGAGAGAATGAAAGTGTCTGCAACTTGGTGTGTTTACTACAAAAATGGAGTGCTTTTTGATGGATTTGTACCAAACGCTTACAGGTTACACAATGTTCCTTCAGGTGCCCAGATCACTATTAGGTTTTACTTCAAATAGTGACAGACAGAGGAACTCTTATGTTCATATCTTTAATGTAGTTTCATTAAGGACTTGATAAAAAAGAAAACGGGGGGTGCCCCTGCAGACTGACAGTTATTATTTTAGTTCCTGCATTCAAATTAAGTACTTTGATTTCTGAGACTGTTGTGTGTTGGCCATAAGAGATGCAAGTGCTCTAAAGCTCAGCACAAAGATCCACGTCTTGTTTAATACATGTCTTAATTAAATCCATGTGCAATAGGAAAAAATATTTTGCCAAACAATGAGGAATTAAAAACTAAAGTTGAAAGCAACTCTGAAAACCATTTTGAGTGACTGTCCTTAATATGCTTAATAAGGTTGAATATCACTGCCTTGTAGTGAATTTCATTATCTCACTAATACTGTTCATATTTTTTTTTTTCTGGAAAGGGATACATTTGACTGAAAAAAAAGCTAGGAATTTACAGAACCCCTTGGTCTCCTGTAAAAGCTTCCCTTCTTTGTACCTTCCTTCTCTCTAAGAAGGACTGCTTCTTAGCTTTTGACTGCTTTTGCATGATTTGAAGAGCACAAGCGGTGCTCTTCCCTCCCATCACCCAAAATTGCTGTTTATATTTCTGTAACTTTTCCTTTTGAATAACTTTGTGCTGTTGTCTCATCTGATAAGCACTACGGAAGATCTTATCTGATCTCGGAGAGAACCACAGTCTCTCAAGCACGCTTACTGCTTGATTTGATATTCATGTCCTAGTTGAGTATTCACTAGTAAAATGCTATCCAGTGACTCTTTGCCTTAGATTCATAATCTAAACTGAAGATATGACTTGTCTAATGTTTGCCTTTACTGTCCCTATTCTGTTTATCAATTAATTAGATTTAAATTCAGGGAATTTTTTTTCAAGAAAATCAGAAAAATGTCCTTAAGCTTTAGTGTTTCGACTTTGCAGTTGTCTTTCCCATTGACCCTAAAATTCAGAATGCATCATCTTTTTTTTTTTTTCCTTTCTTTCATTTGTTTGTTCGGTTTTGGTTTTTTTTTTGAGTCTGAAGCATCCCAGAAGTAAAGGGAATAGTGGCTACACTTCCTTCTTTGACTTGAAACTAAATTGAAAGTGTGTATTTAATGCACTTTTATTTTTCTGTTTCAGGAAACACTCCCTGGCTTTAAATGGATTGGAAGTAGAGTAAAAGATCTCCTAGATAATGGAAAAGAAGTTCTCTTTGCATTTGAAGAGTCTATTGGTGTGTAATATCACTTTAAAATGTTGAGAACTGTTGGGGGGGAAATGCAACTAAAAAGGAGTGGTCTTAGTTATGAAACAAAACACAAAAGTACTTTATTTTTATTCTTGTAGTTACTAGCATTGGTATTTAGCTCTCATCAAATCAACTTGCCAACTATCATAATAAATGATACATGAATCTATGATTCTGGTATTGTGCTTGTGCAGTTTCCTGATACAAACCTGTTCTGATACAGGTTGAAAGTCCTGAGATGCCAGCGCCAAACTGCTGTTGCTTTGTAGCCTTTTAGCTGAGATTAAGCATAGGATCTGTTCGTAAACAGTTTAATATCTTACAGGTCCTCTCTGTGAGGACTTGCTATTAATGGCTATGTGGAGCTGTGAGGTGGCTTGCTTCGGTCACGCTATCCATCGCACCAGTACTGCAGTCTCTCCAGGAGCTCTACACCTTCCCCTCATACTTCAGAACAATATGTGAGGAATCCAGACATGTGCAGGAATAGCATTAAATACCTTATGGAAGTGTGTGAATGTTCCATATTTATCTTGGTAATCTTGCTGACACCACTTATCTGTAGAGAACTGTGTAGTGAACGTTTTGGCTATAGGAATTCTCCACTTCTTAGGATGAATGGCAGCTTTCTGGGACAGCATATTCACATGCAATATGGCATTTGAAAATGAAGCACGCACTGAAGAGGGTGTGTGTCCATGCCAGTTTCCTTCATAAAATTAAAGAAGCTTTTAGCCATAAGGAGTTGCTCATGCATCCCTTCAGAAAGAAGGCATCTTGGCAGTATTGTGGAGCACTGGTTTATGGGTTACCATGGCCATATCTGTATGGGTTCCTTTGATTCAAATTACTGGCAAGACTCTTTGCAGTATCGGTGCACAAAACAAGCAAATTTTTATGTTTAGCGCTCTACCCTGAGAGATCTCCTCAGAGAGCAGATGTTATCAGTCTGGAATTAGTTGATTATAGCATGTATCTTTCCAGCCCTATAACCCTTAAGTTAATCAAATTTCTTAGAAAAGGGGAATGCATATGCAGTAATAAAACCAGCTTACATGTATTGGCCAATTCTCTTTTACAGGAGAGAGGTTAAAACTTCAATCAAGTAAATCAGTGTAATAGTATGTCAGGTTATTTTTCCACAATCAATTTTTTATTTTTAGGCTTTATGTGTGGCACATCAGTGTTGGATAAAGATGGCGTAAGCGCAGCTGTGGTCATAGCGGAAATGGCAACCTACCTGGAGGGCAAGAACCTAACACTAGCACAGAAACTCATTGAGATATATGAAACGTAAGTTGTATTTTTCATTGGTATGTTCTACTTAGCTATTTTGGAGCTGGGAATAATCTAGTAAATATTTTTTTAATGCATCCTTTAGATGTTTTCTCATTGTAAGTTGTGTTTTTTCTGATGCTACGATGGACTACAGTCTTCGGTATTACAGATACCACTTGAATACCACATCTCCCAAAGGACTAAAGAGGCCCTTTCTATCATGTCTCTGCGATAAATTGTGAAAGAGTAGAATTTTGCATATGGATCCACCAGGGCAAAGTTTTCTCTCTTATTTGAGTCATGCTATGTTACTTCTCTTATCTTCTGATGGGTAGCTATATCTTAGTTGTGGTCTGTGTGCCTCTCTTTAAACACTTAATGTTTTCACTTAAACACCGTCTGGGGATTGTTAGAAGATCACGTGCTGTTCTTGCAGAGATTTGTAATGGAACAGAAGTTAAAAGAATGGCCTGTGTCAATAGCTATGGACACAATTCACGGCAATAAAATGAGGAACACGTTTATGTCAGAATTAAGTCATGTACTATGATAAGCCCAGTTCATGAGCGGAAGCTCCTGTGCTTTAATGGAACTGGCGGCACAGTTACAGCAAATCATATATGCCATTCCTTTTCCTGCCGGTCCAGCAGAAAGACAGACTGTGGCCCTTAGATACTTGGAACGAGGAAGCACAAATGGTGGTCAGCATTTATCTCTTTATGGCACTCAGGACTTCACTCTGTCATATGCAAACTGTAGCAAAAACAATTCTGCACAGCTGGATTGAAAAGCTGTCAATGATAGAGATAACAGAAGGATTCATCTTCCAGTCACACTTAACTTTTTAAGCAGAGGAGTGAAGAATAACTTAAATTTCAACATGCAAACATTGTTGCTGCACCTAGTGAGTGCTTGCATTAGGTCTGATTGGGGATAGCAGTTTTAACTTGGATGAAATAATCAGTCACCTTCCTCAGAGGCTGTTGAAATAATCTGTTGTTGTGGCTGCTCGTGTGGCTACAGCAGACAATTTTTGATGGTGTGGGAGTGATACTGCATATTAATTTCCTGAGGGCTACCAAGGCTGCACTTAGCCAAATGGTTGGCTTTTATTTCTTTGGAACTGAAGCCTTTGCTTGAATTTAAAAATAGTTTAAGATGTTCTGAGTAACGCAGTGAAATCTGCTTCAGAGTCCAAACATTTGCCTATAAATATCTGTTTCCACAGCTGTGAGAACTGCATTCTTTTTCTATTACTGCTTTCCCAAACAGGGGTTTTCTTTAGATACCAAATGTGCAGAAAACTTCTGAATCTTGTAACTGAAAATGTTAATCTGCTTGTAGGTATGGATATCACATATCAAAGACCTCCTATTTCTTGTGCTATGATCCTCCTACTATCAAAAGGATATTTGAGAAACTTCGGAACTTCAATGCCCCTCAGACTTACCCAAAATTTTGTGGTATTTACAATATATTACATGTACGAGATATTACCACTGGCTATGATAGCAGCCAGCCGCATAAGAAATCGGTGAGTTACAAAGTATTTTTGCAGGAGCTTCTGTTGTTGAAGAGAGTGAAAGTTAAATACACCAAGAACTATGCAGAAAGATGTACTATGTCAACTAAAATGACAGTATAATTACCAATAAGCATCTGTTAAGATTGCTTAACAACATTTACTGGGGAGAAAACTGCTTAAATATGAAATGGCTTGGTTATTGTGTTGACTATTTTGATATAACAATGAATTAACTTTATTAGTTGAAGTGAGCTTGATGCTCCTGCGACTCTTAAGCTGTCTAGCAGGCTTCCAGATGTTGGGATTCCAGTGGGAGTAAGAAACAGTCCTGTTATCCTGAAACACTGAGTCTGATCTAGGCGATAGGCTTGTCAGGCTGAAATGACTTGTTCTAGTCTGTTGCATTAGCTGGTGGATGTATACTGTAGAGGATTTCAGCCTGTTTGTTTAGCTTTGTATGTGCTGAATGTTGTATTTTTTAAAAAACAAACAAACAAATCCCAAAAATCCCCATTTTTGTGTTAGTTGGGCTGTTCTGTAATAAAATGTTGTTGTTTATGTAGGTGCTGCCAGTGAGTAAAAGCAGTCAGATGATCACTTTTACATTTCAAAATGGTTGTGTTGCCACCCTTCGGACAAGTGGAACAGAACCAAAGATCAAGTACTACGCAGAGATGTGTGCGCTGCCCGAACAGAGGTCAGTAGCAGGTCTGCATGTACACGTTGCAAGATGTCTTTGGGCTGAACGGTCAGTGTGCAGGAATCGATTCCCTGCCTGGTGGGGGATTCCTCTGCTGCCTCCTTGGAGACCTGAGCCCCAGTTGACTGTTCCAGCCTGTTAAACTGGCTGGAGCGATGCACATTCCCGCTCATAAGGGATCCCCTCTGTAGTGGATGAGACAAAGAATTGAATTTTCAGCATCTGCTACAGTAGGAGACTTCTTTTATTAACCCAGTTCCTCATTCACTTAGAATTAAAAAGTGACAAAGTTGTGCTGCTGCTGGCAAGTATGCTTAAATCCAGCTGGATTCCTGTTGCATTTGGGAATCTGCTGTGTTGCTCTGAGCTACTGGATGGTAACTAGGGGTCTGTCCCCTCTTGACAGCCACCTGGATTGAGCTTCTTCCAGTTTAAAAGGGGGGAAAAAATATAGGGTATGTTTACAGCATTGAAATCGGGAGTGCAAATGAGGAGCCTAAGTTCTCAGTTTAGCTAACGGAGAGAAGCAGGCTGTTGAACTGGATTCCTAACCTAAACTGCGTGAGTACCCCTCCTTTTAGACTTGTGTTCCAACATTCCTGTGGAGCAGAGAATTGAAAATAACATAAAGGGACCTCTGATTTGGTATTTATTTCTACTTGTTGGCAGGAACATGAGCATGGTTTTTATCACTGAACATTTTGGTCAGATTTAGGCAGTCAGTGGACAGTGAGTGGTAGATTGTCTTTGCTTGTAAATTGTGCACGTGAGGGGATACATGTCCATGCCTAGACAGCTTTCCACAGGTTACTGAAGTATTCTTTAAAACACAGTTTATTGCTACATGAAGTCTAATAACACAGGTACGGCCCATCTTCTGAATCATGTTTTTAAATTGTTTTGAATTGACCATGGAACAACAGCAGTCAGAAGTGGCAGGAGTTCTACATCCCAATTTTCTGAATGGCAGCTCTTGCCAGATCCATGCCTAGACAGCTTTCCACAGGTTACTGAAGTATTCTTTAAAACACAGTTTATTGCTACATGAAGTCTAATAACACAGGTACGGCCCATCTTCTGAATCATGTTTTTAAATTGTTTTGAATTGACCATGGAACAACAGCAGTCAGAAGTGGCAGGAGTTCTACATCCCAATTTTCTGAATGGCAGCTCTTGCCAGAAGCTTGTATTTATTTGGTCAGAGAGCTTTCTGATTGTCTGGCACATGAGTGCACTTCTTTGTTACGTGGATATGGAAATTCTCACTTCAGTTAGAACATGCTTGCATAAACCCAGGAGTGGGCAAGGTACCATTTGGTGTAAATGCTGAAGAAAAGGTAAGATATAGTTGAGGCAAACAGCTGTGCCAACAAGGAAGAAATAAATGCTAGAAATCTTGCCCTTAACCTAATCTTAACACAAGTGAGGGCCAGATGAGTAAGAGTAGTGGGAAGAGAAACAAAGTACCCAGGATGCTTTGATGCATCATTTGGGCTTCTGCTGCTGTTCATTCTGGTAAGTCAGAAAAATACATTGATGTTTAATTTTAGTAGTACCTGTGGTTAATGGCAGTTATTATCTGGAACATGAAATTGAACCAAGGAATCTTGAAAGCTTTTGAAGGCATAAAATAGTCTGTAGGAACCTCAAAAGGCACTCCTCTCCGTAATAGCTTTGCAAATATTTCTCCAAGTTGCTGTTTATTGATTATTCTTAAAAGCTGAGCATCAGGAAAGTCAGTTTTATTGCACCATTTTTGGGGTGTTTTTTAAAAAGTGGTGACCCGAAGGGCAATGATAACGGTTGGACTTGATGATCTTAGAGGTCTTTTCCAACCTTAATGATTCTATGATTCTATGATATATTGCCAGTTCCACAAATGAACAAAGCAAATGTAAATAAGCCTGTTTTGCCTATTTTCCTTTAAAAACAGACTGAGTTCTTCTCCCTCCAGTGAGACTTTTGGGGTAGGAGAGGGATTATGTATTTTTAAAGGAGTGTTGCAATACATTAGTGTTTGTGCATGTGGATATTGTCTTTTTACTTGAATGTCTGGGCATTTAAATAGGGAAAGGATCAGTATATTATGGTCACCTCTTGTGAGCCATGGCACTTTGCCTGATTACTTAATCCCCCTAAATTGTACTTTAGCCAAGATACAATCAGATACTGTGGATGGGCATCTGGATGCCGTGTAGAGAAGAATACAGGGTATCTACCTCTTCTACTAGTAGCTCATTCTTACTTTTTAATCCATTTACAGTCTGTGTCTGACCAGTCTTGCATTGGATTTGCAGTCGTTAGTTCTTGTGTTCTCTCTGCTAGCCTAGAGCCCTCTAGTGGCGATTATTGTTTGCCTTTAATTGAATTAAATTAAAATTAATATTGCAATAGTCCCTACTGAAAAGTAGCTTGTTAAAGCAAGCAGGTTGGAGTCTCTACACGTTGATGCTGGTAGGAAACATAACAGATCTAGTCTATCACCATCAGATCTTGCTTTTTTGTTTTTTAATAGATGCTTGGAGTTTCTCAAACCTCTGACATGGTATTGTTCTTTTCTAGTGACAGAACCGAGCTGGAAGAAGAACTTCAGAAGCTTATTGAAGCTTTGATTGAGAATTTTCTTGAACCTGATAAGAATGGACTGATCTGGCGCTCTGCTTAGATCTCCCGTAACTGGTGTTCAAAGAAGTGACCGCCTGCACTGCGTCACATGAAACAAAGGAACCAAGAACAGAACTCAGTTTAATACGTGTGCGTGTGTGTATGTGTGTTAAACAGCTACAGTTTTATTCTATAAAGAAGCAGCATTTTTTTGTCAGGCTTTTCGCCGAAGTCTGGGCTAGAAAATTGGGATAAGAAGAGGAAGTGAGAGAAAAGGACTGAATTTATTATTACAATTTCCTGTCCTTTTGACCAAAAGACTAATTAATGCACACAATGCAAATGAACTGCCCTAGTGGGTTTAAGATAGCTGATCTTAGCCAGTAGATCTTGTCTTAAACTAATTTCAGGTACCCAATACCTTTTGTGTGAAAAGGTTTTGAAATTGGGTAGTCATAGTATTTGAAGGAAGTGATCACTCCAAACTGACAAAAAAGCCTGCTTCTTCCTAGCTGTTGTGCGTGAATGTAGGTATCATTGTTACAGGTCTTGATTTCCAAAAATGCTGAAGTAGAGTTCAGTGCTTAGCATTTCTTGTTTAGGCAAGCTGTTCAATATGACACTTTTCAGCTACTTAAGCATCTTCTGTTGTTAAAGGTGCTCTTGGTGCATTGTATCTTTCCTGTGTGTACCTTTAAAATATTTACTTGACAGTGAAACAGTAGTGGCAACACATGCAGTTCCACTTGTGATCTGGGTTTTGAATTACATATTGCCTTTCCAAGGCTTCCAAAGGAACAGAAACTTGTTCATTCCTTGGTTAAATTGCCCATTCTAACTACTGTAGGCTTTGTAACTGTTTTTTGTCCCACATCCTTGAAGGGACTTAAGCTTTTTTTTTTAAATAAAGGTTTCAGAAATTCAGTAACTTTGTATGAAAATTCCAGTTGAATGACTGTTGTGGTTTTGATGGCTTGAATTCATACTGGCTGTGTATTTTTTTTTTAAAAAAAAAAAAGGGAAGAAGGTGGAGGTGAGATGCTGATACCCTTGATTTTTCTTTTTTTTTTTTTACTAAATCTTTTTTTTATCATGTCTTGTAAACTAATTTCTGTTAGAACAGTGGTTTGCAAATTCTCTATCTTTTAGGGCAAATTTTTAACAACTTCCCATTATCTGTTTCCTATCTTTGCTTGAGCAGAAAGCGATACTGCTAATCACTTTTTGGAAAAAAATAGACCGATACAGAAATTCTCATGTAGATATCTAGGATTTCAGAAAATAAAAGCCACATTTTGGCACAGAAAAGCTGTGGAAGATACTTTAACAGAAACAATACTTCAAGACAAACTGCATATTGATTAATTGACAATAGTACTTGTTAATATGTGCGACTAAATTGATAATATAAGCCTTCAGAATAAAGTCAGTGATGTTCTGGACATCTCCCTGCTATTGCTCTACAGTCATTAGATAAAAGAAAGAGATAAAACTGAATACTTAACCTCTGTATTGAAGGTTACATGAGAAGAACCTAAGATGCACTTAAAGCCATTGTTTTGCCACTATTGTTAAATCTCTAAATTTGTCCTCCATCTTATTATACCCTTACAGCTTGATGCCATAGGATTGCGCAGAGTGGTTTTGTATGTGTTGCATCTAGATGGCTTTAAAGAGCACCAAGGTTTCTGTGTCTGTGCGGGTGTTGGGTATTTCATGCTGACAGAAGCTTTGCACTATAACCGTGGATAAGTATTTTGCCGTATATGAATGTACATGTACTGCAGAAGGTCTGTGTTGCACAAATTCTTATTTACCACCAATATTTATTTATTTTTTATTTTAAGATAAAATATTTCCAAATTGTTCTGCAATTGAGTGAAATGTATCTAATGCCAAAAAACTTTTTTTTTTCTTGATTGTACATTTGACTGATGTGGTGGGGAAAATGGGTGAAAGCATTTACACTTAGAGTATACTCATATTATTGTACAGCGCTGGGTAGGTCTCAGAAGGCGTGAAGGCATTTCTGACTGCTGCTTTGTCTTCGGTTTTCACAAAAAGGTGCAGATCTGGATCCCGACTGCACTGAATTTGAAGGTGGTCTTGCCATTTGTTCCATTGGCATTTGGATTTTGTTTTTAAATAGCCTACTAGTAGTTCAGAAGAGAATAAGTGACTTGGAACATAATTTTGAACAAAGGTGAACACTGTAAAAAGCGTAGTGTGTGTGATGAGGCCAGCTGTGTGTATATTGTAGCAGTTAGCGTTAGAAGTTATGTCTTGAGTTACGTTTGTGCTCCTACAAAGAGCAGGAATCCACAGTTTCCCAGAGAGATCTGCTTTATATCAGTAGGCAAGTGTTAAATGCAGTATGGATGATAATCGTGATTATGTTTTCAAATCAGCATTCTTAGAAGTTGCTAACTGTTCATAGTCTAAATATCTGTGATAAAAAACAAATACAGGGAGTTAAGTATCTGGGATTCTTCTCGTCAATAGATTTGAGCAGTAAGTTATAGACATAGTAGTGCTTTTGGAATGACAGCAACAGGCACAATGTGTTGAATGTATTTTAAGGGTATAATAAGTATTGCTGTTTTTAAACTGCTGCTACTGTTGTTTTCCTACTGTATTTGGACTGTTTGATATATTTATACTGTTCCATTTGTGGAACAACTCCTTTATCTCCTCCCTCTGATCTTGCTTCCCTTACTTCTGTTACTGTGAAGGACTAATTCTCTTATTTCATTGCCCTGTAACTTTGTTATAGATTGTGTTAGAGTTTGTTGGGCTTGTGCACGACGTTCTTTCAGTTGTCAGCTGTTCTTTACTACTTTTCAGATAAGAACAAAGGCTTTTCAAACTTGAGTAGGAAGCAGATAATAGATCAAAGTATGTTGTGGATGTTGTTTACTAGGCACTTCCAGTTAAAATATGCCTTTTCAAAGGTTGGTCTACAGCAAGTCATTGGCTTAAACCGTAATCATACAGCCAATGATTTATTTTTAGCATTTGATAAAATTAGGAGGGCTTGTTTTTGTCTTTTCCCTTTTTGATGTGACAGGCTAAATCTCTGTCTCACTCAGATACGTGGTAAAGTTGTGTTTCCGTGCACCTAGGATAGGACCTTTATAAGTACAGGACACTTGCCAGGCAAGTTTGAATGTCTATGAGACAGAGCTGGTAGCCAAATTTTTTATTCTAGTTGTGATCTAGCATCCAGTCTGTAGTTTAAATAGCTTCAAGTGCTATTCATGTCTCTCCTCCTGCAACTCTAAAGGATGCTTCCTGCCACGGCACGAGTGAATCATAAACTCTTGCGTGGAAGAGAAGGAGGGAGCATGTTTAAGACGGGAGAGTTTGACTGGAAGCTCCAAGTACAACTCTGGCTACATCCCACAGTAGCGTAGCCCCTGCTTTGTGCTTGCCGTTGGCGCGGTGTCCTGTTCAGATGGTGAGCCGGTTCTGCTTCGCCTCCCCTCCCCTTCGCTTGAATCCCCAGGAGGATGCAACTCAAAGGAGCCAGGTTTTCCTTGGGCTCCAGGAGAACTGGGATTTGCCTGAGTAGGTCTCCTAATTTTCTTAATTTTAAATACCCAGTTATTCCTTTTAAGGAGGGGAAATGTTTATTTGTGTCATCCACAGACTAAATTAAGAATTAAAATTCTATGTGTTTCTGTTTCAGACGTTGAGGTGGCTTACAACATGCAGTACACACTGCCTGGGGCTCTTACTTGCCTTGGGCAGTTCTTGACTGATCTCAAGCTGTTGCTGTCTGCTTGGAGGATACCTGCATGTTGAAATTTCTGGCGTTATTCCCTGATTTAGCGGTACTCAGGTAGCACTTTGTGTCCCCTCTTTGGCTCGTGAAGTATTAGGGATTTCAGTTTCTGTTTTATTAAAGGGAGCGTGTTTGTGTGAAACTATCAGAGTAACTGAGGGAGAAGCCACAAGGTGGAATGATGGTTTCTGTCATTTGGGGCAGGGTGGAACCTGTGGTCTGCTTTAGAAAGCACTTCTAAAAGCTTGGAAAGCACTTGGATGTTCTCTTTAATTTTAAAACTATTATTGTCATCACTTCATTCTGTCTTCCCCCCCTTTTTGCCCTCTTCTCTCCCCAAGTAAGAGAGGGGGGCTCTTTGCATGGTGATACCTGGATAATCAGAGTTCATCCTGGTACCAAATTCTTGGTGCACAGCACATTTTCCATCCTCTCCTGCCCTTTGTGTGCTCAAGAGTAGCTTTGTATGAGGTGATGGAAGTATCTGAAGTTGCGTTGTTCTCCTTGTCTAGAATCCTGGGGAGTTCTGGATCTGTACTCTTGTTTACCCAGTGTCTGTTCTTCTGTAAAACTAAGGCGTATTACAAATACAGAGTGAGAATTTGCACTTTTCTGAAGTATTTCTGTGTATTGCTATGTGGATTTAGCCAAATGAAGTGTTACAAGTAATAAAATATTCTCTTCGTAGTAGCAATCCTTTATGTTTCTTCGGTCTTCTTTAGTCAAACACTATTGCCCCAAAAATGGAGCTGGTGGATAACTGTTCCTGACTTGGTGTAGGAGGAATATTGACCGTGTGCCACTCAGACCTAAAGCCCCAGGAACAGCAGCATTTCCTGAAGCTGTTTGGAGGCCCATCCTTCTGGTGACACTAAATGACATCTATCATGTCAAACAGTGATGCTGTTTCCAAGGGACTCAGCGTTGAAGCTGTCCCAGAGCAGAGCACCAAGGACTGTCAGGGTAGTTGTGACGTGAAGTCACCACTGATGCCACCACGGAGCAGATGGGAAGGGAGCCAAGCTCAGGGGACCAAGTTGGGGAGCGACCTGCTGCTGTGTGAGACAGAGCGGGTGAATTGGTGGAGAGAGCGACTACCAGAACATGAGAGAGTGGGTCTGATGCGTGACACATGCATAATTCTTTCTCCTTTTAAGCCAGGCAGGAATTGGGAAGAAAGTGCCCCATGTCTACAGCTCCCCCCTCAAGGGACGCTTCCCGGCCATGCTTGACATCTTTCAGCTAGGGTGACACAGAGGTGGTCTTCGTCATGAACG